GCCCTCTGGCATCCCAAGTCAGTTCTTAACCAACGCGCCACTCGGCCGGCGCTAGATTTTGATGATAGATACAGAGTCCTGAATCAGGCAAGTCCATCTTGCCAGTGTTTTCGACATCACGGTGTCTGGGCTGGAGGAACCCTGCAACTGGCTGGCAGGGTAGCTCACTTCTGGTCCTTCCTTCCCTTTTCAAGGTTGTGGGATCACTGCTGCCTTCACAAGAAAATGGAGCTGTCATTCAAGGCCATCTAGGATCTGCTAACAATCACAACCCACTCTTGTTTAACAATAAATACATACACACCCACAGTTATTTGTTGGGTGTAGCCTGCCCTACTGGTTCTCTTCCTCCACTGCTCTTCCTCCACAATTTACCTAAGCCACACTGAACTCTCTGACCCCCAGCCAGGTCCCTTTCTGTCTCAGAAGAACCTGTATCTGGCAGCCAGTCATGTCCCTTTTGCCTTCTTTTATGTCTTTACCTGTGAAATTTTGCCGAGTGTGCATGATGCCTCCAGGTCTGCACTAGCCTGGGCAGCTCCTGCTTTCACCATCTGCTACACAGATGACCTTCTACCTATGTGTTCTTTGTGTCATTTTATTAAATGTGTCTTGTCAACAATATCTTAAAGCTCTTAACAAAGTTTGTCTGTTTGCAGTTAAATGAGGAATATACACTCTGGGCTCTCAGTAAATACATATTGGTGTGCCAAGGAAAGGTTGCTGCCACCAATCCAATGCCAACAGCAGTCCCCAATCTGGGTTGCGGTAAAAGGAGAATCTTTACCGAGGTGAACAGTTTGCAAATCTGGGAAACACAGCCTCTGGAGGAAACCGAAAGTGTGCCCGCTTATATAGAGAAAGTACCTGTTGTAGTCCCTGATTGGTCCATTTTTATGCAGATGAGGAATCCAAATGAGGACTCAAATAGCACTATCCTGATTAGTTGGAATCATGCATCCTGATTGGTCGTTATGAAGCCTCTCTGATTGGTTGGTAAGGATGCAAATGAGGATATAGCTGCACATGGGGCAGGCCTCAGCCCATTAGTCTGAATACGATTCCAGGAACTCCTTTATAAGTTTCAGCTCAGACTGCAGGAATGAAGTGCAGGAGGCTTGGCAACTCAGTTTGCGCTTTTTCC